GCATTCATGACGGACACCGCTTTGTGTACGGAAACTTTTGGAGAGCTCTCCGTACACTCTCATACGTCTTACACCAGTCGCAGCTAGTCCAGAAGTTTGGTAGATTGAGCTGTCGAGAAAATCTGGCAAGCATGCTCACATGGAACAACCCTTCTATCGCGAGAGGTTTATCTTCGCCATTTCACTCGTTTAGGAAGCAACTTTAGACTCATTTTAAGCACCCACGACATGATTTGAAGCAATAATGTCATTGATATTCTAGTACTATGTTTTCTGTCTGTTATGAGAACTTTTAACGGTGTACTTAATTGCCCGCTTTTATGATTGAAGTACCGTTGAAATCAACGGCCCTTGTGCATTGAGTGAACCGCCCGTGTACGTGTGATGTCTGGCCGCTGATATCACATTGTTGTGACGTGTAAATTGGTTCCACACGTTTCTTTGCCTGTAATATAGGCCCTGCCAATCCTCAGTCTTTGGCACAGACTACTGACCGTTGCCATAACTCGACGACATTTGCATGAGTTGAACCAGACCGCGCCTGTTCACTCTCAGCAGAAGTCCTCATACAGGTAGAGTACTATTCAGTGTTGTGGCTGGCGATGTTGTCCCCCCCTCTCTCTCTGTTTTTCTCTGATCGAACCGAATCTTTCATTGTATGGTGTAGTCGTGCTCACCATCTAAAAATGTCTCCTCCACATTACAGGCGCCGCACCTGCTCTATTACTTTCACATTATGATAACCAATGTGTCCGCTTCAATGCCGCCTACACCACGAGGAATGCGCTCGCGGAATCTATCGTCTTTGACCCTCACACCGTCAGACAGTCTTTTCAAAGCCCCGCTTATTTCATCCACCCGTCGCTACTAACATCCGGCCGGACACGTGTGCCCTTCCCCCCTCCATGTAAAACCTCTCCTCACTCATGGTCTTTTTCATGCATCCTGGCATCTGTGATACGAAGCAGTGTTTATCAGCTTTTTTCCTCTGGACAAAAAGAACTTGGTAGGTTATCTGCTCCTTCTGCACATTGTGGATTTATTCCGTTCTTTGGCGGACAAATGATGTGTTTATGCGAGGGAGGATGAATCGAACTTTGTTACTCCTATCGGTGATTGAAAATCAGCTGCGAAGTTTATATTTATTCATCTCAGATTCTCCCATTTCCCCTGAATCTCCGTGCCCCCGCAAATGTACTAATATTCAGACATAGTTCTGTTTGTTGTCAGTCATTGCATTGGTCCGTTCTTTGGTTGAAACATTTCCTGTGATCTTTTTTTTGTAAATCGTGCGGTATTTAACATCTGTTCTCCTTGCTTCAGGTCCAATTCAAATTGTCACGCACGCACACACCCTTCCTGTCACGAACATGTTGCATTCCGAATGTACTTTGGCCCGACTCTACACCATGTTAATGCATGTAATTGAGTGACTGGTGAGTGGTCCCGTTAGCTCTTTTCTTAACTCGTCAACATTCCGTGGTTCTCTGCTTCCATGACATTCAAGGAAATCAGAGTCGTTTTTTTCACCACAAGAATTCTTTGTTGCATTCGAGAATGGATCATGTACCTGTTTTTTTTCTCTTTTTCTGGATTGGCTGTATTCTGCATTATTTCTACTTTATTGGCTCACATGACTTTGCCCAACTCGGTTTGGTTTTGAGGATGCATAGTTGTTCGAACCAGTGTCTTTTGGATTTTGCGGTTGAGTTATTTCTCAATGACAGTCACTCCTACACTGTCTTTGTATTAGACAATGTATATGGGTATTGAACAGCTCAACTACTGTCAGGCTTCATCATTGGTAAACGCGGGTGGAACCCGTATTTCTAGTCTTTGCAAGATTCAAACGCTTGATAATCCTTGTAGGGTTCGACGCTAGTCAGCAGATGCACCTCTCCAGGAAAACCTGGTGGAAAATACTTTTCAGTTCGACTCTGAATAGTTGCAGGTGGTTGGGGGATTTGTAGAATTCACGTTCATACCAGTCTGGTTTGAGTGGAAATCAATAACCGCCCGGAAATGTGATTGTTCCAACGTCATGAGTCAGCGCGCGTTGGTGGAATAATGGCAACACGCTCGCCCCGTGTGCCTGGCGATCGGAGTTCAGAAACTGCACGGCCGAGAATATGGACGGCTGATGAGTTCTCTCAGGGGAGAAACTCGAATCCAGTGCTTCCTCCTTTTAGTGTGAACTTCCTGGAATAGTTGCGCCAGCACGGGAGGCAAACGTTGAAACTGGAGTGGAGTGCACGTGAATTCCTGTGGAAAACCGCCAGTCCTGGTCCCGGGGTAACACAGGGTCATGTGAACTGCAGTGCCGATCGATAGGATGGATGTGTTCACGCTATATCGGGAAGGGTGTGGATTCCAGTCTTTCGAGTTGTGGCAGGGTTTCGTCAAATGGGTCGCAGGTATTTTGTACCACTTAAACAGAGGTGCCATAGCTTAGTGCACGTTAAGACATATATGTAGGAAATAGAGACTGGCCAGTGCGTATTTCGAAGGTGAAAAAGGGTATTCCCCATTAATTGGTTCTGTGAGAAAATATATAATCCAACCAATTTTCCACGAATGCGAGAATGGGGATACAGCAGCGCAGGGTCGTGGGCTCCTCGACGAAGTGTTCATCAGATTCATACTGTGTTGCCTACCGTGCTGAGCATCGTGGTGCCTTTGGTCTCTTCCAGAACTGGTTCTCAAAAATCCCCCTCATTCATAGTTCCCTTTTTTGGTCATATAAATTGGCAAACGGCGTACTAATTTGCTGGTGCTGCGGGACAGAATCCCATGTATTTCTCACCGTGATATACTTCAAAAGTGATTTCAGTGTAGCTCCAGATACCCCAACCCATTTGGCCCTCCACAGGCACATTCATTTGCTAAAAAGGTGACGATGTAAAGTTGATAATGCACTTTTGGTCAGTGTAAACAAAAAATTTCTTTGGCACGACAAAATATATCGGACATACACCTAATGTGAAGGATAAATCCTAGCACTTTATGGTGAACGGGTTTTGAGATAATTAAGATCTCACTGCATCCACGTTAAATGCGATGTTTCTCTGACGAGCGCTCATCCTCATAATTGGTCAGTAAGTTACTCCTTCAGAGAGTGTTTACGGTTTCAGTCTTACTTTTGTAGCTGGGTTAAAAACTCACTGCTACCTTACCGGACTGTTTAGAACGGGAAAGAAAACAACCAACTTCCTGTTATCGATTTGTTGAATGCGTATGCACTGGAACCTTCTAAGTAGGGGAACTTTCTAGGAACGGTGCAGAATGCACAACGCTTTTGGTGTATAGCCCCGCTTGATTGGTTATGAATTGAAGGAGTGCATGCTGTTCAAGAATCGGTTTGGTCTGATCTTGTCCTCATTCTGTAATTCTCATCGGTCGCTGGTCGGGCCTTGCTAGGTGCCGGAATCCTAAAGAAACTCGCACATTTACAGCAATCCCATGTGGTGGAGATTGGTGCGGAGTCCCAAGTCTGCTGGAGCCAGAAGGTTTAGTTTGTTTTTGACCTTGAAGGTTGCCCGCCCATTGCAGAGTTCTGTCCAACAAAATGATCTTCACCATTCCCTTATGCATCTCCACGAATGTCCAGGTACTTTGCGTTACACTGTCCGTGGACTGGGTGGTTCTTGTAACCAACACCTGTAATATGACAGCTTGATAAGAAACTCCATTTTCAAATTGATTTAATTTCATCCACAGTGTTATTACTTTTAATAACGACAGTTTCTGAAAGGTGTTCGATATTGACTCCGCTTTTGGAAGGGCAACGTCTAAGTTTTTTAGGGTGACATGGCAGATGCTTGAAGATATTTTTCATCCTATTTACCCGGTTTCTGAAAGAAGAAGCACACTCTGGTGACGGCATTGTGCTCTTAAATTGCACTGTAGAAAAAACGAGCTCTGGTTTATATCCCAATGAGGACGTGACCGCGAAATTTTCCATCGCCAACATATTCATTCGACCTGGTTATTCAGATGGGCCGTTTCAAGAACAAGTACTTCACTTTGAGGATGCAGGCTATTTTGTTTTCACCGCATTTGCAAACTGTCGTCCGTGCACTTCTTCAATCAAATGTGCTTCACCCCTGAGTTAGATTAAGCGACCTCAGTGAGGGGACTTCAGTTGGATAGCATTGTTAGTGATCTGGATGTAACATAATCAGGTTGATTATCGGGAGGTGACAAGCACTAATAAATGTTTGTTTTACCAGAATGATGATGATCACAAAAGTTATGTACACATGATGATGTAAGAGGGGAATAAGACAAAAAGTGATTTATCGTTTGAGGACAACTGTTGAGAGTTCCTGAGTGAAGTTCCGGATGCTGGACGTGTCTTCTCTGCAGTATAGCTGCTACACGTGTTCCGTAGTTGTCCGTGGAGAATTGTGGAGCTCGGTTGAATTCCTGTGCTGTGCACGCGTGTATCGTTGGGTCGAGTTGTAGGCCTATGTATTGTGTACAGTGTGAAGGAGATGGGTGTCCATGCGTGTTTGATAACTGCACGAACATGAATACAACTTGACCTGATGTGGTTGAAGTTCGTAAGCCTGGCCCGTGAAGTGGGTGGTAGCCGCGCAAACAAAAATGCACGCGGAATTGTGGTGTACATGTTGTCGGCTGAGGTTGTAAGTGGGACAGGAACTGTTACGTGAGTTGAGTGTTTGTGACGCGTGATCTAGTGGGTGGCCTCTACAGTATTCCAAACAAGAGACTCGCTCAAATACCACATCAACAGTGGCTTAATTTGCAAAGAAGTTTATGACCATGTTTGGTGTTCAATCACAGAAAAAACAACGCAAACTCTGAAACTCGTCTACAGCTCCAAGAAGAGCGGAATCGCCAATCGGATATTGAGAAATTTTCCGGTCAACTGGTTCCACAGAAAGAGAACGCTAAGTGCAAAATACTCCAGCTAAATCTTATTCGTGTATCATGTTTTCAAATAATATCCTATATGGGTTCCAGCCGTGCGCACATCTTTCGTACCTCAGCTTTTTTCCGAAGGCGATAAACGCGTCCGAAAATTGTATTCCTGGTGTAAATTTGATTCCAAATGAAGTAAGCCTTCCAGTCCTGTGAATCTGTCCCCAGTAAGTTTCTCGTATCATTATGGAACATTCCATGACAATTGACAAGCGAGCAAAAGTTCTACACATCGTATGGCACAAACTTTCGTATTACTTTCGAAAAACTAGGGCATTTGCAGATAATGCCGCCTTCTTGATTTATGATAGTTTCAAGGAATTGTGAATCTTGACAAAAATGAAAATGTGTCACCGGGGATTGCTCTTCAGGACAACTGGATTGACACTGCACCACCAAGTTCTCTCGATGTTTAGTTCTTCTAGTAACGGACATTTATTATGAACGTTATTTGATAAAGCCATTTTGGGGGTTTGGTTTACGGTTTCTGTCTTCGGGGTGCCTCAGCTTTCTGTGTCTACAACTTGTTAACTACTTATTTCAGTAGGTAGCATTTCGTGCTTGCATCGCAGTGTTCTGAGATAACTAATCAAAGGTTGAGTGTTTGTGTAGGCGACTACTACTCAAGAATTATTCATTTTGATTGACACTCCACCGTGCGGAACTTACAGAATAATAGAATTCACTTACGTGATTGCGTAAAGCGCTGTAAATGAAGTTCTGATCGGACAAGCTCAAAATGACTGATCTGCTTTGACGTCTATCATGTGGACCCGAAAAGCGTTTCGCATTCTGTGCCACTGTCAATTCTCTGTCATACAGCATTTGAACCTTTACTTGTCCTGATGTACAATCCCGGCAAGGCTCCTGGGTTTAAATGAATAAACCAGATCTTCTATTCTGTTCTCTTCAGTAGGATTGTGTCTCATCTCGCAGTGATTCAAATACTCGATAAGATATTCAGGCTGTTGCCTGATAGATCGAATGCCTGTCTGAGGTAAACAGTGAATTTACGCAAAATCAGACTGTGATAGCTGGTGAGATATGACATTCTGTTCAACCCGTGCTGGATCTAGTGGAACGGCCATACTCACAAGCTTGCTACAGTGTTTAACCACGCTGACCAGATTAGCGGATAAGGAGAAAGGCTTCAGGCCACCCGATTCAAGTTTTTATTAACCACGACGTTATACGCATCATGCAGTTGCTTGTGTTGAAGGCTATGTTACACCGCATTTACTAAGGCAAAATTTTCAATCCGGGAGCTGTTGGTTACGCTCAGTGCTTGTTTTGTTTGGAGGCTTCGAACTTTGAAATTCGTCTCATTTTCGAATGAAAAACCCTTATCAGAGAGTTCTTCTCCAGCGAACTGATCCCATAAAGAAAAGTCTGTGACCTAGTCGTCGTTCTTATCAGTGGCACTATGTAGGTCCTGAAAGTTTTGTGCAGGAACCGTCAGTGTGGAACGTCCATCAAAATAAAAATCTCCAAGTTGACCTTGATATCCACTGTTTGTATAGCCTCTCAAATGTGTTCCCACTCAGGGGAAAGGCTTCAAAAGCACTTTGTCCGTCCAATAGAAGACCATCCAGCGTGTGATTTGGACTGGATACTTGAAGAGCATTTGTCTTTCTGTCATTTGAAAACGGTTTGTATTTCTTGCGATAGAGACGAATGAAGCCTTACAGTCAACAAAATTCCATTGGCTGAAATCGTTGCCGGCTATTGAGCATTGGTCAGAAAACACATAAAAACGTATGAGCCAACTGCGTTTAGTAAAGCTGGATCCTCCACGTATTTTGTAAGTTAATACAATGGGCAGATTGCATTTGTTTTTCGCCATGATCATTTTAACTCTTCCAAGGGTTTGGATATTTTGCGTTTAAAATGATTTCATCTTCAGAAAAATGCATTAGGTTCTGAACGAACTAGGATAGGTGCGTCATATCATAGGGAGGAACCAATGAAACCATTATCTGCAAGGCGTTTGATATTGGATTTTCAGCTGAGAACGATGTCTCCCCCATTCTAAGGGGGATTTGTGGGGTTGTATTTGAGGTATGGCAGTCCAGAAGAATTATACGCGAGCTTACAGCATTGTGATGGCTAAGTTTCGCTCGCCGGATTACTAAATCAGCTACATCTGGCAAGGTGAGCGCCCTGTGGGAGCTCTGAAGTTATGCAAAGGCGGTTTAGTCGATTTAGTACCTCAAGGACTTGAATCAGACTACCACAAGCTCACGTCACTGTCCAAAGTATATCTATTCTTTCTGCAAGAATCAAGTAACCGTGATTAGCCGGGCTTTTAGCTTTCGAAGCAATGTTTCTTATCCAGAAGTTCATGCTTCTTTTGAAGTCCGGAGATCTTTTGCATCAGATTTGCGCAAAGGTTGCATTATGAAGCCCAGGATAGTTGCTGTGAATAGCAGATGCGTTGTCCGTGTAATATGGATTTGAGATTCTCTCTTGAAAAATTGGAGTGGCGTCTCGGAGAGAACTGATTGTACGGGGAGAATGTGTGGGTTTTATATTACAGGGCGCAAAGTAGCCGATTTTAATTTCTATGGTTGGGAACTTACATTACCAACCTCTCCACACAACTAAGTTGTTTTACGGAGTGACGGTGTTCTTCCCAGATTTACGTCCCTGGGGAATCACGATGAGTTTCGAGTGAACGAGAGAACCTAACTGGGCAAGTTAAATACGAAATAGCCTAGAGCTTTCCAGATCCATGCGGTGAGCTTCATCCTAAACAAAGTGACCTTGAAGTAAAGGGATATCGTAACTTTTTGTCGGAGTAAGCTTACGATCCGTTCCGCTACCGATTGTGTGTGTACCGTGGCTCACACCATCAAACACGTTTAAGTGTAGACACATCTCCCGACTTTGCCGTCGTAATCTCTGACGTTCATCATTGTCATGTGTATTGCTGAAGCAAAATTTTTCTTCGTGACCTGTTTGAAAGTTCTGGCTGGTTAGGCTTTTACCACTGAGAAATGACCAGTACGTTCCATTTCCTAGCAATGCGGGAGTGTCTAGTCTACAGTGAATAAGTGAGTATCACTCACCTTCCCAGTTGCGAATGCAGTAAAAACCTCTTGCTTGCACTGATGATAACTCCTTTCGCACATACACTGAGATTAACTGGCAGTTTAGTTAGGATATGAATTGTGCAATCAGGACAGCACAAAGCCATTTTCAACACAGGAACGAATGTTCCTTCTAAGGTCTTGCTGTATCCTTGGATATTTTCGTCCGGCAACTTGAAAAATTTGGAGATGATGAGATATGTTCCATTCGGCGTAACCTATCAGCAAAGAATCTCGCAGTTCATGGGGAGTGAATGTGACATTTTATTGAAATAATTCCCTCTGGTCTACTTCGATTCTGCTAGAAATCTAATCACTTGATAGCAGTTGGAACTTTCACCGTCCCCACCAAATGTCTGATGAGAACCGAGCGAGTGCACGTGAAAAAATATCACGGGTGTCTAATATCCGTCCGTACAACCTGTAACATTCACTCAGCAGTCAACATTCGAGTTTTACAGTGAATGGAAATCACACGCTGATTCAGTCCATTCAAGCACATTGGAACTAGACTAGCTACGTTTCCTTTGCATCAATCTGTTCAAAAGTATGCGATTTTGTTAGAGCATCTGTAGCTTCTCCGTGCATTTCGCATCATGCATCCTCTCACTGGGTGCTATAAAAGGGACGGAGCAGGACGCGTTTTCATTCAGTTCACCAGCATGATCCCCGAAGTCCTGTTTACCGGAACGTATGACCGAATTTTTCATCTGCGGCGGACAAAAAGCTAATTTACTCGCTCGGATATAAATAGGATTTCAAATAGTATGGTTGCAGTATACTTAGAAAAGCTGTAAAATATGCTGTGTTCACATCTATTTGTCACTTGTATCATTCTCTGGCCTGGTGGGACTGTATTCAATCGCTCTTTGAGTCCTCACTACTTGCGACGCACAATCCGCTGTCACCCACAAGTAGTAGTGTACGTGAACTTCCATCATGACGCCACGCAATGTCCAGATTTGTCAGTCCGTTTGTGACACACTTGAACCGACTTGCATTGGTTGGGCGTGTGTGAATGGTGAAACAATCACTCGAAAAACCAAATCAGTTTGCAAATGAGTGTATATTCGCCAATATCGTGCAATTTGGTTTCATGTAGAACATAAGGTTGACGGAAACCCGGGGATTGCGCCTACCTGATGAGCCCCAAAACGGGCGAAACTTTGGGAAGCGGTGACTTTCGAAATATAGAGAAAAAAGGGAAATTTCCAATCCCGAACGGCGTCTATAAACCAGTTTACACATAACAACTTGTAACCAGCCTCAAAATGCTTTCAGCCGAAAATGATTAGATTCTAAAGAACCGCAACAGACAAATCTCTGAATTCGTGTAGCCATATAGCGACGAATGGTATATTCGTGACCGATTTTTGACTTTTGACGTGCGATAATGAGATACCAAATACTATATATATATATAGTAAATGTTATCGGAGTACGTTTCGCTTGATATGATTTGGTTTACTGTGCCTGCTTTGACAATAACAAATGCGGTCAGTAATATAGTATTTGTGGTATAAACATTAAAAAATAAATACACATACAAAGCTTTTTGGAGAGATGAAAAAATACCGAAAGTTTTTCGAAAATATCAAGAAGTTAGAATTATTATACTTAGATATCTAGTGATTCCCAGAAATGAAAATGGATTTGAAGACCAGAGAGAAAAAATGGCAGCGCCCAGCATATAGAGGGTCGCCTTGCTACAATTTCCTCCGGTTTATCAAACTTTCTGTTCGTGGAAACTCGAGGAAATTGTTTTGGATTGACGTGCTGATTTTCAACATTTGAATCAGCCTGCAGTTACGTCACGATACTGTGACAGAGTGACCAATCTACCACCTATTGAGCCATGACCACTGATGAACCAAGAATTTCTCTATGAAGATAGGTTGTGATCAGTAATTATTTGTGTGTTTACATTATGCCTACAATCGGAATACAAATATTATTGTTCCATACTGTTAACTCTGGTTCATACTTCCGCTCTTTGATAATGACGCGACTTCCGGCAAGTCTGCCTGCGTTCCAGTAATCTTTTAAAAGAGGGCGTTCTGAAGAAAGTCCAGTGTTTGAAGTAATCCAGGATGTCGCTCTTCTATAGAATCCTCTTTCGAAGTGCTATACGGGTGATGATTCTATCCTTGAAAATGATTCAGGTTTTGATACCCACTAAATCTGGTCTCTGCTGGAT